ACTGTCAGTCATCTGTTTTCATTGTCGCCAAAACTTTGTCTGTAAATACGAATTTGAGAAGCATATATTGAGAGTAGTTGGCCTAATTAACTCCAACAGGTTAGTAACTAAGGCACAAAATAGTTATTTATGATATAAGTGTTAAAAGTACATTTTTAAGGCACGCATGTGAAAGTTTGCAGAATGAGCGAAGCGAATTCTGCAATTCACATAAGTGCCTTAAAAATACTTTTAACACAAATATCATACAATATTTTTTCTACAAACGGCAATAAAAAGCAATAACCACTAACAAATTGGATTTTTAAATGAATAATAAATTGGAAGCATCTTTCCTACATAAAATTCTTGAATTTGACATTTGTCAAAAAATCCATACAACTAGCACCTTGTTTTACAGGTAACGAAATGTCTTGTCAGTTTCTTGAAAGTCTGTCGTGGTCAGATACAGAAGAAACAGAGGGTTGCATCGATCCTTCGAAAAATATAGATGAGGCGGCCAATCAGGCTACCTCAGTTGTTCAAATTTCACCATTAATATCAATGTAAATAACTGAAAATACAAACTTTTTTTGACGTCCGCTCTCAAAATTTGATGTTTCACTTTTAACACTAGTGCTATAAAGACTTTATGGCACTAGTGTGATAAAGTAACATTTTTAATGCTTCGGGGCCGTGTTAAAAATTGCATTTTTAACACGTTTGTAGAAAAAATTATTTTAGTTTATTCGTAAGCAAAAACAAAATTGAAAAATATTTTCTATTTCGTTGCACGATTTTCAGGTTATCGAGGTGAATAGGATCAAGAGCTGGGGTCAATAGGATCAAGGGCTGGGATCAATAGGATCAAGGGCTGGGGTCAATAGGATCAAAATGCCTAGAGAATATAAACCCAAAGCAGGACAAAAACTTTACAAGAAACCTGATCCAAACATCATTGAAGAGGCTAAAAATGATGTTAATAACAACGGGTATAGTATTCGACAAGCCGTCACCGTTCTGCAAAGACGCCTCGCAAATGTGAATGTTAAAAGACAAGGAGGTCAAACAGTGTTAAGTGAAGCCGAAGAGAAATGTATTGCGGAAAAATTACTTACATGCAGTGAGTGGGGCTACCCCTTAGATACCTATGATTTAAGATTGGTTATCCAACAATATTTAAATAGAGCTGGTAGGGTGGTGCCCCGTTTCAAGGACAATCTTCCTGGTAAAGAGTTCGCATATAGCTTTTTGAAACGACATTCGCATATGCTGTCGGAGAGAATGTGCCAAAATATAAAACGAGCCCGGGCTGGTGTTACGAGGGTAACAATAACAAAGTATTTCGAACGCCTTTCTGAAGAACTAGAAGGTATTCCAGCCAGCAACATCATAAACTACGATGAGACCAACCTTTGCGATGACCCAGGACGAAAAAAAATTATTGCAAAGAGGGGATGCAAATATCCGGAGCGAATTATGAACCACAGTAAGTCGTCAACTTCAATCATGTTCGCTGCTTCTGGTAGTGGAGATTTACTTCCATGCTACGTCGTCTACAAAGCCTTGAACATGTATGACTCTTGGACTACTGGAGGGCCACCCCGTACAAGATATAATCGTAGTAAATCGGGATGGTTTGACAGCTATTGTTTCGAGGATTGGGTACATTCAATCGCCATACCATACTTGAAGAAGTTGCCTGGCAAAAAGATATTAATTGGTGACAATTTATCGTCGCACCTATCAGTACAATCGATACAAGAGTGCTCAGTGAACAATATTACTTTTATATTTTTACCCAGCAACTCCACCCACTTGACGCAACCCTTAGATGTTGCCTTTTTCAAGCCATTGAAGGTTGCATGGAGAAAGATTGTTGAATTCTATAAAAAAGGACCTGGAAGAAAGGAATCTGGTATTCCTAAAAACGTCTTTCCAGGTTTATTAAGGAAGCTATTAGAATCGATTGAAGACAACAAATCTAAAAATATAATGGCCGGATTCGATAAATGCGGCATTATACCTTTAAATGCTGATAGGGTATTGAACATGCTACCTGTGGAGAATCCAACGAATGATAGGGAAGATGACATAAACACTTCATTTGTTCACATTTTGAAGTCGATGCGGTATGATGAAAATCAACCTAAACAACGAAAGAAAAAACTCCATGTACCTGCTGGAAAAAGCGTAGCAGTTGATAATTTTGAGTCTTCTGGCGAAAGTAGCCAAAATTTTAGCACTCACGATTCAAATTCAGATATGGATCCCATGTCCGAGTTTGAGGAGGAAATTGATGGAAATTCTGATGGTGCTGAAGAAGAAGACATTGTTCTGCCATCTGCTGACCCTCACATTTCGAATAGTTCACCCCAACCAGCAATCTCACATGGTCTCTTGCCCGTCACCAAGGATGACATTGATATTGGTGACTGGTTACTCATAAACTTACCTTATTTCTCCAATGACAAAGTACCAAGTAAATCCAAGGCCTTTAACAAATATTATATAGCTCAAGTTGTAAAAATAAACAAGGACGGGTACGAAGGAAGCTTCTTACGCGAAAAAACTACAAGAGACTATTCAGGATATGTTTACACTTTTCCAGATGTGAAAGACGAGTACGAGTTCACTTTCCAACAAATTGCTGGAAAACTGAATCCTCCGGCAAAATATGGAAGAGGTCTTATGAGATTTGAAATTCGTTTATGTGAATATAATAAACAATTTAAATAGATTTTGCTGTTAGATAATACATATACCTGTTAACATGTACTTGTATCAATAAAAAAATGCGTTTGATCCCTGTTTTTGAGTGAAAAACAAAAAAAAAAAGAATCTGTAGAGTTCACATATAAAATTTCTGCAATCCTATACACCCCACAAGAAGGTAAATACGATAAGGCATAATAAGATCATTGCCGATCCTATTCACCACAATGGCAGGTGAATAGGATCAGCCAAAAAAAAAAAATATATATGGACAACAAGTCGGCATAAAAAATATTGGAACTCAAAAATGGATAGCCCAGGTATAGACTGATGTTTTGATATGTATACATCAGAATTTTCACTCTATTACTTTGGGAGAGGCACCACTTCAAAGTATAAAAGTGATCCTATTCACCCCATTCTACGGTATTAAAAAAATTGATCTATTGTATCATTTTTCAAATTCATTATTATTTCATTCATTAGATCATCGGGTTGCAAAAATATTTTGTAATGCCATACAAAAAAATAATGGGTCTTTCCCCGGACAAAAAGAACATAGGTACTTATTTTTCACTTATTAATCATTGCGCTAAAACTGAAAGGTCATCATTTTGAATCAAAACAAAACGAGCTACTAAAAAGCTATATTCACTGGGGTGTAACAATAAAACTCTAAATAGAGATTATTTGAACTCTTCTTGCACACACACATTCCACATTCTAAAAAAGCACCAAAGCAAGCAAAGCTCTCTGAGCTAAATTCACTTCCGCCGTAACTCTTTTTGAAAAGAGAGGGATTTTTAGTCCGAATCTTCCCGATTACTAGTTTTTTTTTTTTAGAATGTTTTCTCATATTTTACGTTAAAATACAAATAAATTTGTACCTTTATACAATTTAATCGGATTTTAAAGTTGGCCTCGTGTAGTACAATAATAAGTGCTCTAGCAGGTTGAGGGTGCACTTCAAAAATATGTGTGTCAACAATTTCTGCCCTTTGTCATCTTTTGCCCTGTGCAAATAAGTTTTGAAATTACAAAGAAACCGCATTTAAATTGCACTATTAACAGAGATTAGAATAGCAAATTTACTTCACGAAAAAATTGGGTTTGAGAACTTTTTAATTTGAATTTAAATGATGGAATTGTTACTTTTTAAATATAGAAAAAAAGGTGTCAGCAAGTCAGCAGCATTATGAGTATCGGTTTTATTTTTAATAATTTTTTTATTCCGTTCTTTTTAAAACTCAATGGTGGATTTCTGGTACGATTAGTCAGCAAATGTTCAATCTAGAAAATTTATAGCTTCAGAGTTTTCCTTTCCTTTCAGTGAACTCGAATTTTAAATGTTTTATCTGGAATCCTTCAATTTTGATTCAAATTATTAGTTTTTGAGTGAAAAATTCAAACATGTTAAGGGAAAGTTTGGTCAAAAACTGCTCAATTTCAAAATTTCACAACTTTACTGTTCGTCATCCAATTGCCTCGAATTTTCAGTATGTTTTGGCTCAAACCTATTAAATTCAATTCCTTAAATTTGATTTTTGCATACTCATTGGTTTCCGAATCAGTTAAAGTCACAACGTCGATGTTTTTCATTTAATTGTCTCAAATTTTTAGTAGGTATGTTTCACGTTAGCCTTTAAAAAGGTTTAGTAAAACTTCATATTTAGTTTTTGAGTAAAAAATTTCAACTTGGAGAGTTGAATTCCATATTCCTTTTCTTTGCAAATGTAATTTTGGAGCGTTTGTGGAAAATCTATTTCTACTTAAGAAGTTTCTCTAGCATTTCAGGTTTCAAACTTCCCTATGTTCCTATATGATGTGGCTTGAATATTTTATTGCTGGACGAAAAATTTAAAAATGAATGGAGTTTTCACTATCGCCAATAATTATTATTGAATAATGAAAATAAATGCTTATCAGCTCAATTCCAAGTCACATGCTACGAAAAAGACACGAAAACTACTCATGTGATGTCTTTTTTAGTTCATACACATACAACCAAAACAATTTTTATCTGTCTTTTGCCTCTGATAACAAAGCAGACATTAATTAATAATGATACTATGGAATTACGTATTCGTTTTTTTTTTTAGGAAAAATCTATGTCTGGTTTTCTCGTTATTATTATCCCAGCAAGAGAAATTTTACGTGGGAAATCTTGAAGAAAGCAAAATCGAAAAAATCAGCGGCGCCTCTAACGATATGGTATTTTGAGCAAATCGGATAAACAGGATTAATGAGGCCAATTTGGCAAATTGAATCGGAGGAAATTTTCATTTTTTAGATTATTTTTTGTTGTTGGCTTAAGTAAATTATTTATTGAGACTTCTAAATTTGTTTAAAGTGCCCTATCGTTCTTTGTATGGGATTTTCTTTTTCGTATAATATAGGGTTAGCTTTTCGTGAACAAAAAAGGGCCTAATGGCGTTTAAACGATTTATAAAGGGCGCACAAAATAATCTATACTAAAAATACCTCTAAGAAAGTACCCACCCACTTACATAAAGTTATGACTAATTAGGTTTCCACCAAATAACCCATTTTATTCAATAGTAGGTAGTACCCAAGTAAAAAACAATAAAGTATAAAAGCTTCTTTATCTCCAAGATTTTGCTTATTTACTTTTCCGTTTCGTTCCAATTAGGACCGCGTTACAGTACGTGCTGCACAGTACTTTTTAGTGATGTTATTCGGATCGTTTCATTAAAAAAAAAAAATGGAAGAAATACTAAACAACCGTAATAAAAAAAATAAACCTAAACCTAAGGCTTTGTGTATGAAAAATCATGTGAATCGGGATAAGGACTTATACGACACTTTGAATATTAAAGCTGATCAAAGGGTGAGTAGGTAATTTCAAATTGTACAAATTGTTGAAATTAATTTGCCGTATAATTGTTTCTAAACTAATATAGTTTAAGCAAGCAATTAGAGCTCATTTTGGGTTACAGTTGCAGATGTTGCTACATTGTTTCAGTGTTTAACTGTCTGAATTTTCGGTAAATATGCATCAGAACTATTTGCAACAAAATAAAGGTGGGTTTAAATGGAAATTATGTCGTGTTATCACTCCGGGACATACATCAAAATTCGTTTTGGAAGGTTGTGATTCAAAATTGTTGCCAAAGATTCCAAAAACACTAAACTCTGGAAGTTTGTATAGAGGGCTTGAAAAACTTTATTAAGGTAGAACGAAACTTTGCTCATGAAACTTTTGCTACGAATTTGTCTTGATGATGGGAGAGTTCCTATTTTTTTTTTTTTTTTTTTAATGCTAAATCACTTTTATATTCATTAAATTACCTAGTCAAGAAATTATAGGTTTTCAAGGGCCAACAATACAAATATTGTTTAATATTTCGTAGAAGAATTTTAACATTTTTATTCTATTCACTCATTATTTCATGCCATTCAAATGAATTTGCGATCAATAGGAAAATCATTCAACTGATGTAACAATCAAAAAAATGAAAATAGCTAGAAAATATTGGAAAAGAAGCCTTCTTTCCATACAAAATGGAATGAAAACTAGCCTATGAGGTTTTGTAAAATGTAAAAAATTAATATACAAAATGTGAAAAACCATATATCCACCTATTGTTTCTAAAAACCTATATATATACTGTGTTATTTTTCCAACAAATGTAATACATATTTCAGTCAATATTTCCGGCCCGATTGTTTTTTTTTTTAAAAAGCTCGTTAACGTCAATTACTTTGTAAACGTGCTAAAAAATGTTCACTCATTTAAATAATATTTTGTTGGAAAGTTCACTATAAAATATACGTGTGTGTGTGCGAAAGTCGTTCGAATCAAACGCAAACTTGGCGTAGAGTTTTACTGCCTCTAAATCGTTTCCACTCGGAATTTTCCACCACTTGCGACCCCGTATTTATGGGCGGAAATGTAAGAAAAATGCTAAAATTATGACGTTATCTTTGTGTTTTATGCAAAACAAATTTTGTGATTATTAGATGCAATGTTAAATAAGGCATGAAGAATAGAACACATAACTCAACCTGTTATGAACATATTGCGGTGCAAACCCAGAAGAAAGTTATATATTCGCAATCAGAATTAAATGCTCCTTAAGATAAAACAAAATTACAGTAAAGCTTCACTAATCCGGATCAATAAAAACCAAGGCAATCCGAATTAAAGGGGGTGTGCGCCAAAAATTTAAGTTTTAGTGTAAAAAAATCTAAGAATAACTGTTCAAACCTCGTTATTCTACGATAAACCATCGCTGAGATATACCGCTTTAAGTGTGGACGACGCTCTCGTGACGTCACGAAAACTTCGTCCAGCCGCGCTCCGCATTTTTAATTTGATTGTTCCCGGCACGCGTGAGTGGTTTTTGTTTAGATTATTGCAGATAACACAGGTGAAACATATGTAAATTTAATTAACTTTACTTTCTCGTGCGTCGCTTGAGCTTTCGTGACGTCATAGGGTGAGATGCGGTACCTTCATAGAGCCATATCTGCGGTATTATTTGTCATAGAGGGGTGCGGATTTCACTGTTATTCTTAGATTTTTTTTCTCTTTTTTTTGAGATGAAGTTGTTTGTTTGACGCACATCCCCTGAAACATCCGGATTATTGAAACCTTTTGAAAAGTCACAAAAATACGTCAAAAACTATACCTTTACAACTTCAAATTGAGACTTATCATAATCAAATTGAGAACAAACATTTTCAAATTGAGATTAAACAAAATCAAATTGAGAACACCGGCGTATCCATACCATGCGTCTGGGGGGGGGGGGGGGGGGTAATCAGCCCAGGTCAGCCCGCCGAAGGCAAAAATTTTCTACCAGGTGCGATACCCAAAAACGTTTATGTTGAGCCTTCAAAACAATTTTTCTGTATTACCAACAAATAACGAAACCAAACTCTGGGATTCCCCAAAAACTTTTGAATTATAGCAAATTCTATAGGTAGTACCAGTGCAAAAAATGTATTTTCATCTCTTTCTTATGCAAGCTAGTAGAAAAAGACAGGAATACACTCAGTGCGCACTATCTCTTCCAACAGAATTCGTTATTAATGGCATACGGACAGTGCGGACAGTGCAAACTTGAAAACAAGACAGTTGAGAAACAAGAATGGGATCCAGAGTCAGTCATTAGATCGCAGTCACGTCGCAGAAGTACTTGGCAACGTGGTAAAACTCTGACTGTTCTATAAAACATGAGCGAAATCGAAATCGGAAAGGTGTTGAAATATAAATAAATAACGGCCGCTGGCCATGATTTTCAAACATACCGCCCCTATATAGGAAGAGTGTATAACTTATAAAAATATAAAAAATAGATTTATTTGTAAGCTGTAGGGTACATATTTTTCGTCCATCGCAAGGGTCTTGGGGGGGGGTAATTACCCCCATTACCCCCCCTTGTATACGCCGGTGATTGAGAATAATCAATTTCAAATTGGTACAACATCCGTTTCCATGTAATTGAACGTTGTACCAATTTGAAATTGATTATTCCCAATTTGATTTTGTTTAATCTCAATTTGAAAATGTTTGTTCTCAATTTGATTGTGATAAGTCTCAATTTGAAGTTGTAAAGGTATAGTTTATTAGCTCAAAATATGTGTTTATTACATAGTACCTGTAGAGATCCGTGGTTTTGTTGGGCTTTAATTCAGAGACACTATTCGATTTTAAAGAGTTTTAATAGGAAAATATATCGCTGGCAAAATTAATATCGTGACAACTTGACACATACATGACAATATTGTAAACTAGTTATTAGTTGTCATGGGAAACAAATGTGTTCATAGATACTGTTCTTCTTTAGATCTCCATGAACAATTGAATGTTCTATTGTAACAAATTAATATAAGAATTGCATTCATCAACACACTTCCCCAATTCTTATAATACACTAACAAAATCTAATACATATAACTGAGCAGTTCCTAAAATAGTATATTGTTGTATTAGGAGTAGAAGCTTTACTTTTTTGAGCTGAAGCAGTAGGTTTGCGAGCCGAACGTAGTGAGGCTTGCAATACTGCTGAAGCACAAAAAAGTGCTTCTACTCCGTATGCAACACGCTATTTTTTCTCCAAACGAATGGGGTAAGCTCCGGGGCAAGTGAATGGTTGAGCGGCAGTAAAAGTACTTTTAAAAAGTACTTCTACTGCCGCTCCAGCGGCACTAAAAGTACTTTTGCTGCCGCTAGGGTTGCCAAGCAGCATAGAAATTAAATTTCTACCACCTCGACAGGTGTTAACCCGCTGGATTTGCCTAGCAGCACAGAAATAAAACTTCTGACATCTTGACAGGAGTTAACAAAGTGACGTTTTTCTGACGTTTGGAGAAAAAAAAAATATCATTGTTTATACACAATAGGGAACAATCATATTTTTCAAAGTATTTTTTTTCTTATTGCTTATGTTTTCAAATATAAAATGTATATGTTTTTTTTTGTTTTATGTCCTCATTGAAATAAAAAAAATTATTTTGAATTTCAAATTATTTTCGTTGGCGCGAAAACGATTAGCTTCAAGATGGTGGCATTTGTGACGTCAACTGTCTGTAAACACAACGTTAAGGTCTGTTCTCACAAGAGCCTTTGATACTTTGCAAACTGTCGGAAAGAATCGCTTAGCTTGAACCTTCGACTGCATTGAAACTTGAAAGCGGTTATTTATGCGGTATTTCCATATTTAGTGCCATATTGTGACATTTTGTGTTTCAAATAGTTCATCATGGTTGATACAGGATTTACAAAAGTGCAGTCTGACAATCTTTCCTCTATAGACCCGTTTATGGTGGTTCAATATCAGTCGGTGCGTGACGTGAGCTGATACTGGACCAATCGTTCCACGATTCAAGAGTGAACTACGAAAGTGTGGACCGTGGATTTTCGATCAGTGTAAACTACCCTTAACCTTAAATTACGAACAGTTGACGTCACTGGAAGCGGCCATGGTAAACGTAACTTTTTCGCGCGAAACTTTTCAATTTAAAACTAATAATTGCCATATGACTATAATGTCCATAAATTTAATACAAAACTGCTCATATTCAATATTTTACACAAAAATGTGCACCATAAAAACAAAATAAGCCATATTTATTTCTTATGAAAATTCCCTATTGAACAAAATAATAATTTCAATTTTTCTCATAAACATTTAGTAAATTTCGGAAGTATTTAAATTTAGTTGCACTTAGAGACTTTGTGAAAACGTCTGCAATCTGCTCAGAAGTGGATACATAAAACAATTTAATCTTGTTTTCACTGACACATTCTCGTACAAAATGGTGTTTAACATCTATGTGTTTTGTACGTTTAGTTTCTAATGTGCTTGACATTTTCATACAGGCTTGATTATTCTCAAAAATATTCACAGGAAAAGTATCAAGGTTAAGCAATTCAGATAAAAGTTGACCAACAAAAATACACTCGGCAACACAATCAGATAATGCGATATACTCTGCTTCAGCGCTACTTAAAGAAACAGTTGCTTGCTTCTTGGACTTCCAAAAAACAAAATTATCGAAAATCTTAATTCCATATCCTGTAATGCTTTTTCTGTCACATGATTCATTTGCATAATCGGAATCTACATAAGCACTTATGATTTCATTTGATTGTCCTGACTTTTTATATAAAATACCCAAATTCTCAGTATTTTTCAAGTATCTCAAAACATTTTTCAAATATTTCCAGTGCTCACTACTAAAACAATTTTGGAAACGACTAAAAAAATAAATAGAATAACTTAGGTCAGGTCTGCCCTAACTTCAAGCTCTCCAAGGCATTGGGTAAACATCTTACAATATTTCAAGCCGAACTGCTTGCCATAGATATATGTGCACAAG